ATGCATAAATAAGTAAAATCTTTTTTTTTTAATTTTACAACAGTTTATTTTTACATCATTTTGTACATTTTCCCCCCCATCTCAATTGTAATCCCCGCGGGTTTAATAAGTAAAATCTTAAGAAAGAAAAGAAATAGCCCAATAGCTGTTGCAATGCCATACTGGAAATAGCAAGCTTATACAGCACTTTACTGTGTAAAATGTGTTTAGATAAGTACTGGACCATAGAGCTGTGACTGTATTAATTTTCACAGCAACTGTAAGGATGATTATCCATGTTTCACAGATAAAGAAAATCAAGTGTCAGAACTTTCAAGTACCTTGATAAATATACAACTCAGAGAGAATTTAGACCAAATTTGAGTCCAGGTCTATCCAATTTGAAAAATACTATAGCAGGAGACTAGCAATTATTATTGGAGAAAGTGCATACTTCTTTTGATTCATGTTGCCAAATAGCTCTCTAGAAAAAAGGCAGATTATCTGGGCTTGAATCCTAGTTCTGCTACTTACTAGTTGTATGTCTCTTAACCTCTGTATACTTCAATTTCCTCATCTGAAAAATAGCTTCATAAGTGCCATGGGGATAAATGGGGTACATAACTATTAATATAAAACAGCTAGAAAAGTGGCTGGCACAATTCTGTGGTCCAGCATTTATCTAAGCACTTTACAAATGTTAATTTATTTAATAAAATAAAATAACCCAGTAAGACAGGTTCTGCCAATAACATTTCCCCTGTTTTACAGGTGAGGAAACTAAAAGACAGGAAATCTTAATAGTATGTCCAAAGTCACACAAAAGGTAGAAGGCAGATCCCTGATTGGAATGTAAACTCCATGCTCTTAAATATTGTTCTCCTGTCTAGCTCAAGTAACAGGATCAGACTATGATGTTTAGTAAGGGGTCTATATTATTATTTTTAAAGCTTTTTTTTGTTTGCTTGTTTTTAAAGATTTATTTATTTGTGCATACAGAACTGGGGTACAGGCCAGAGGTGCAGGGGTGGTGAGAGGATTCACCAGAGACAGAGTGGGGAGCAGAACAGGCTGACGAAGTACACTGCTGAGGGGAGCAGCAGGCGGGTCAGGAGAGGTCTGTGGCACCATGTGGTCACCTCCGGGGCAGGCAGGGATCGAACTCGTGCTGAAGTGGCTTTAGCTTCTTCGTGCTGTGCTTTAACTTGCTGTCCCACGAGGGAGGGCCTGTTTTTGAAGCTTTTGAAAAAATTAGTAAAGCCTATTGCAGATGTAATATAATACAAAAGTACATAGATTAGCTCTTTCTGGTAGTAGAGTCTGGAGAAGACACGACTCACAGGGGAAGGAAAAGAAGAAAGAACAGGTCATCAGCCTTGGGCCTCAAGTGACTGAAGGAGAAAATGTATTTTGTGTCTGTCACATCTTTGCATCCTTCCATGGCAGTTCTGTCTATGTCACAGATCCTTCTGGCAAGGAAATTAGCTGTTGTGTCAGCAGTGGGCAGAAGGTGAAGCTGACTGAGATGAATCTTCTCAGTGTGCTGCCGTTTTGGCTACCCAGAGGCACAAGGACCTGGGCACCACTTCTCTCCACACCAAACTCTGGGCCACAGGAGGAAATCCGAACCAGACTCCTAGATCTGGGGCACAGTGAGCCCTAGGGATGAAATTAGGGTGGGTTGAGGATGTCACCCTCATCCCCTCCAAAAGGGAGGGAGGTCACTGTGGTTGCTGTCTTCTCAAATGATTTTGTTAAAATAAATCACCTTCATGAAAAAAAAATACATAGAATAAATGATGACGTTCATTCTGCCAGGATCTCAGTATTATCCTTAAAGAACCATTATTAGCGACATGGTCTGCAACCTCCCAAAATGTTTTATATGTATTTACATGCTTAGACACAGACTATGTGCATGTATGTCTGTGGGCCATCTATGCATATGTGTATACTTTCCCCACATACATGAAGTCATATTGTACATAGGTTATTTAGTGACATTCTTGGCCTGAGCAGTCCTGTCAGCCCACACAGATCTGCCTCATTCCTTTTTTTTTTTTTTGTAATTTATCAACCTCTAATAAATAGAATGAAACACTCTCATGGTATGGGCTTCCTTCTAGTGAGCAGGGTAGGAGGAAAGGGTCCCCCAAAATAGTTTAAGGAAAGAGAACACAATCGTGAGAGATATATAGCAAGATATCCCCTAATTCTTGATTTACCCCCTAGGACTGCTATAACAAAGTACCAAAACTGGGTGGCTTAAAGTAATAGAAGCTTATTCTCTCATAATTCTGGAATCTAAAACTAAAACCTAGTTATGAGCAGGACCATGCTCCCTCAGATGGCTTTGGGAAGAATCCTTCCTTGTCTCTTCTGGTTTCTTGTAGTTCTCAACAATCCTTGTGTTCCATGGCTTGTAGATGCATCACTTCCGGCTCTGCTCCTTCACATTGCTTACTTCCCAGTGTGTGTATCTTTGTGAATCTGTCCCATTCTTACAGAGAGCCCAGATACTGGATTTAGGATGCTCTCTAATCCAATATGACTTCAACTTAATTAATTACATCTACAAAGACCTCATTTCTAAATAAGGCCACATTCTGAGATTCTGGGGGACATGGATTTTAGGGGAGACCTTATTCAACCTAATCCACAGTCTCTGCTTGATAAAAGTGCTACTAATTACTCGGTTGTCAAAAGGTAGATTGTTCTGTTTAGAACATATAAATGGTGTCTACCATTTGTGATTTCTAAGATATTCAACACACTGTCACAGAACTGCAAACAAACTTTCTTTTTCTGTGAAAAGGAATTTTGTCTCATAGGAAGGAATGTGGAATGTCAACAAAGAATTATGATTTAAAGGACCCTCCACATTTTTTTATATTTGTATATTGATTTATTTCTATAATTTTGCAGTTAGGTCTTTTGCATTACTCACGACCCAGCACATACAGTAGGAACAGTAAGATTATTTAAGAAGGAGCTAAACTGTGATCCCATCAGCCTTCTTAGGGAGGGGCTTTGATAGAGGAGAATTGTTGCAATTCCTCACCCGTGCTGTCATTTCATCCTTGGGAAGAACTGTCATGGCTCCTCTGGCACTTTTGGTGAGGGGGAGCTCATTACCTCCTGAGACAAGTCACTTCAGGGCAAAAATCTCATCTATCAAACAGTCTTTAATGTAGTTTGTATAATCTCTATTCTTCACACTGGAACACAGAGGCTCTGAGAGGCATGCATATTGTGCAAATGCTTGAGGAAAGGACTGGCTTTTTGTATATTTCTAAAGCATTATAAGCACAAATAAATTAATTTTTGCAAGCTGTAATCATGGGCCTATAGTGCAAACTTATACAGAAAGTGATAGAGTCAGAATTGTAACCCATTGCTGGACAATCCCAGCAGGGGTAGTAACTTCTGGGCTCTCTGCTAGTGACTCTGAGCTCTTCTTTCGGGTCCAGAGGCTTCTCCCACTTCAGTTCTAGCTGCAGTCCTCATTCTAGACTAAAAGGGCTCGATATGGCACTCTCCACTCCTTGCCCACACATCCTAGCGTTAAGGGCAAGCCACTATTGCATTTGCCTCTGCATCCCCAGGATGATCACTGGGTAAGTTGTTGGAGGAAGTCCCAGCACCAGGAATCACTAGCATGGTGATTTGGAGGGAATGAAAGCAAAAGGATTTCAGAGACAGTGGAGACTCCTCATTCAGGCCCTAGGACTGAAAATAAGAGATGATTACTACTTATCTGTGCTGTCGTCATGTCGCCAAGTGAGATCCAAAGCCCCAGGCCGGTGATTGCACCAGAATCCCACTGTGCTAGCTAGCTGGTGACGCGCGCCAGAACGCTGGTTGTGAAGAGGTGGGAGGTGAAGAGGGCGTGTTCCAAAGGATGCGGGCAAGCACCGTCACGTGACTTCCGAAATGAGGGCTGGGGGCGCCCTCTGCCCTTCCCCCTCTCCCAGCAACCACAAATAAGCGCACGTCGCGTCCTCAGGTGCTCCGGGTTTTCCCTACGTCACCTGCAGTCAGGCGCCCCCCCCTCCACCTCCCACTCCCGCTACGCCGCCATTCATTCCTCCTACGCCGCACGCACACCGCGGGCAGCGCCGGCCAGCACTCCCGAGCCGCGGGCGCTTCAAGCCCGCGCTTTGGTGCCAGAAACCTGGCTGGTGAAGGGGGGTCTACCCTGGTGCGCGCGCGCTGGCCCAGTTACCGGGACCCCCTCCTAGGAGAGCCCGAGATACGCAGAGACTCAGGGGCACCTAAATACAGACGCCAAGCATGGAGACAGATTCAGGAGGGCAGAGACACGCAAGTGACAGACGCAGATAGAGGCCGTGACACGGAGATATGGGGCACAGAGACAGACACAAGCAGACAAAAAGAGACTGACATTTAGATAGGCATAGACAGAGACACAGAAGGGCTTTCGAGACACAGACTTGATGAATAGTTTAAGATCAGAAGAAGGCGCCAACGACTGGGAAACCAATTGGTCAGAGCTGCTCCGGCTTCTGGAAGGTCCGCGCCGTCCCGCACTCTTCACCCAGTTCTGGACCCTCCCGTACGCCGCGATTCCTGCGACCTCTCCCCAACCTCTTCTAAGACCCACTGAGGTCTGATCTTCTCACCCAGACCCGCCCCCCAATTCCGATTCTCTCGTTTCTCAGAAGCTGAGTGCCAGATCCTCCTCCACTTAGCAGATGCCAGTAGCTCAGCAGACACTCCCGCCGTTTGTGCAGGACCTTCCCACTGCCGATCCCTTCGCACCCCTGAGAGTTGGGCGCGCTCC